GGAGGATAGTTGGCAAACATTGGGCGCCGATATTATACATGAAGTGTCATCAGCAAATTGATAGACTGACGTTACGGGGAGTGAATGACTAAGATCATTGGTATAGAGTACGAATAGAATGGGACCGAGTATCGACCCTTGGGGTACTCCATGGTTAATGGTCAACGGTGATGAGTAAGCAGTTTGTAAATTACTGTCAACAGTATGCGTAAAACACACTCTTAAAGTTCTGTTTTCTAAATAGGATTTAATTAATTTAAGTCCATTTCCTCTAAAACCGTATCTTTCTAATTTTGATAACAGTACACCGTGGTTCAGAGTATCGAACGCCTTACATAAGTCGAAATAAATGGCCGCGACACATTGACGTCTGTCTAATTCATTTAATATATGAGATATGGAATGAAAAATTGCGTTATGAGTTGTGGAGTTCGGTATAAATCCAAATTGTGACGCAGAAATGATCTTATTCCTTAACAGAAATTTCAGCATTCTTTCAAATATTACCTTTTCAAATATTTTTGAAAATACAGAAGGAACTGACAATAAACGATAGTTGTTGATGTCACCCATGTTTCCTTTTTTGTGTAGCGGAATAGTTTTTGAACTACTTTTTACCATCGTGGGAAATTCAGCTGTAGAGAGGCATACATTTACCAATTCACTTAAAGGTGCAGATATGTAAGGGGCTGCCGCTTTTACAATTTTGGTGGGAATTTCATCTAAACCTGTTGATTGTTTATTTGGAAGGCAGGTAATTACATTAAGAATTTCACGTGGGGTAGTTGGATAGAAGTAAATAGTTTCATTCGTGGACACAATGTCTTTCACGGTGTGAGTCTGAATATGCGCAGGAATACGTAGTTCTGCAAATTTATTAGCAAACGCATTGACTATCGTTTGGGGACCAGTAATTAAAGTTTGACCAATTTGAAGTTCTATTTGATTGTGATTATTGGATTTTCTTATGATGCCATTAATTATGTTCCAAGCTACTTTAGATTTATTTTTATTGGCCATAGCCATCTGTGATTCGTTTACAGAGATTTTATAATTATTTATGAATGCACAGTATTTCTTTTTTTCTGAAAGATATTTTTGTTTAACTAGTTCAATATGCGTTGTTTTATACAGGCGATAGAGATCTTTAATGTAATTAGTCCACGGTGTTAAATTATTTGGCATCCAGTTATTTGCACGAAGTTTAATAAGTCTTCTTTTTTTTGGAAATGAAAGGTCAAAATGGTAATAATATATATTATAGAATGCTTCATACTTAGCATTAACACAATTACTGCCTAGCATGTCCTTCCAGTTCTCAGTAGATATTTTAGATAAGAATAAAGTCACATTGTCTGACGTGTAAAGGCGCTTACAAATATAGGTATTATTGCTTGACACTGATGCTTTTAATTCCATTACTTGAGCATAATGATCGGATAAGGTACAGTCTATAACATGACAGCTTAGTATATCATTATGAGAAATATTAGTGAACATGTGATCAATACAAGTGGACGTTTCAGCTGTGACTCGAGTTGGTTGGTTGACATACGATTGCATTCCATAAGAATTGAAAATTTCAAATAACCTCATGGTTTGAGAATTTTCTACACATGTATTGATATTCCAATCACCACACGCAATCATTAGTTCAGAAATTTTGTAAGCTTCGAACAAGACAGAATTAACAATATTAAAAAATAAGTCAAAATTGGCTTTAATGTTAGTTGGTGATCTGTAAAAGCATATTAGTACATATTGATCAGTTGTCCCGCAAATTTTGATAACACAATATTCACAAATTTGTTCTACAGGAGCAGTTTTGAGTTTAACCTCAGTGCACTGGAGATTTTGGCGGCAGTAGATAGCAACTCCACCACCTTTCAGTGATGTACGTAGATACTTACTCAGTAAGCGATAATTAGATAGTGCAATTCTAGGAAATTCGGCATTACACCCATATTCAGTGAAGCATACCACAGATGGTTGGAGGCCATTAATGTAGACATCAACAGCGTTGATCTTGTTGGAAATATATTGGATGTTGACATGGAATAATTTAAATGTTGGGAGGACGGATTTTTCAGCATCCACTATCCTGGTAGTATGAGATACAGCGAAACTTAGGTTAGTTGGCGAGGGGTCCGATTTATAAAAAAAAAAGTATTCACACATGTTCCAGTAGGCCAAGTCGCTGGTAACAAAAACTGATCTTTGAGCTCTGGCAAAATAGAGATATTAAAGGAAGAGTACGTGTCAGGATGCTTTGATGTTAATTTTTCAACTTGTGCTGAGTGTATACCCTTGTTTTTAAGGTGATGAGTAACTTGTTCAGCATTAGTAGTTGGATCTAGGCGTGACACATGATAATTCAATCTTTTAACAATTCCTTTAATGGAACAATTTGTATCACAGGATCCAGTAGCATTGCATTGAATTGAAAAATGTCCCAAGGTGTTGGTGTGCCACTGACATTAAAGGAAAGAATGATAAACTGTTAATTCGAGGAAGTTCAAATGTACCTTACGGAAGTTGTTTATGCAATTTATATAACTGGAAACTATTGTTAAAAAGATGTTTCTGTGGGCGATAGGTGACTTCTTAGATGATGTAATCATGTTATCTAATTAGGCAGATGACCCCCGCGTAGACAAATCGACGTGACAACTTGCGTGTAGGTAATTCCTCTGCGAGTGCGACACTTTGGCAGAGAAACATAATAAGGTATGGAAGTTACAGGTCCCCCTGTCTGATACAACTTGAATAATGACTTTCTTCGAAAATTTCATTTCCTAGTGCGATTGATTTTCTTAATTAATCTTACGAGCAGAGTTGGTAAGGACAGCATAGAAACGTGACAGCGTTCTACGGATACCAGTGCAAATAATTATAAAATCATAGCAGGAAATTGGTCTTTTTTGTTTAAATTAATTTAGGTATAACTTAGTTGCAAAAACCTTGTATTTAATTACGCAAGGAGAAACGCCCCATTAAAAGTGGCAATAAGTATATTATGTAAATTAGAATTTTCAAGCATTTGTTACAGAACACGATTTTAAAACTTTTCAGTATTCGAAGTGTACCATCGACCAATCGACAGTAGTAGTGCAAAGAACAATGCTGGTCTACAATATCGAGAGGATTGTCGATATATATGTATATTATTTTGCATTTTTTTGTTCTATTTATCATGTTATGTTGTTTCTGCACGTTTTATTGTTAGTTTGACGAGCGCAAGTGTTGTCTACACGTTATCGCAATATAGTATCTTTATCTTTTTATCTTTATCAGTATCCTGGAATAGCAGAAAGGGTGCCATAGCATAAAATCGCAACCACGCTTTCCAGACTTGACCATTTTGTTTCATTCAAATTATCCGTGAAAGAAATTAAATTGTGTATATTTTTCTGCATCTTCTACTGTATCTATCTATTTGCAGGGGATCACGATCAGGCAACACTAAGGCACCCCAAAGGTCCATTGTGCCTGCACCCTTTCTTTCGCAACTAGGTTCGGAGCCCGTTCTTTCCATTAAAGGATAGGCATAGGACCATGTTAGGCTAACTTGCTTCATCCTCCCCGGTCTGTATCTGGAGTCCCTTCCCTTCCGAGTCGTATGCGAGATTACCAAGAGCCTGCTCCGTACTCCGTCGAGGTATCCTGATATATGATTACGCAGTATTTTTCCTAAGAACTGTGTACTTTTAGGGCTGTAATTCGTCACTAACAGTTTTTGAGTTTTCTTGTAAGTTTTCGTCGTTATTTCTTTTGGATTACTTTTTACCTTCTACCTTCCTGGATTTTACTTAGGAGTCCTAAGTTAGGACCCACGTCGTACGTGGATGATTTATCAGTTTTATGACTCGCCATATTTTCGCAAAAGTGACGAACGCGTGGATGTCTCTACATTACCAACTTGTGAAATTCTAACGTGATTAGACATTGGACATTGGGCATTGGACTTTGGAGATTGGACATGGACATTGGATAGATCTCGATGATCGTTCGATATTCAGTTGTAGCGGATTTTTTTTGTATTCAAATTGAAGAGTAGCAAATAGGAATAAAAGTAGGTACCTAATATCTTCAGGAAGATGTCGTAGTAAGTATAGGGAACCTTCCAAAATAAAAAAAATAAAGCTTTTAATCAACTGCTGCAAGCAAAAATGACAAAGGAAACAATATAAATTCATTAATCCTTTCAATTTTATTTCCTGCATAAATTATCAGACAATTGTTTATGATTATTATAAGGCGTGGTGTTCGCGCTCAAAACTTAGGTGCTCGTAGAAATCTACTAAACTTGTCCAGGTCATTATTTACTTTTCACCTGCACCAGATGTTTTGAAATGTTGACCATTATTGACTAAACATTAATTTGACTCTGTAATAAACCTTCAAGTGCAAAAGAGAACATAATTTGCATTGTTTTAGTAAGTTTTTGGTGTACATTTGGGACGCTCGTCCATGCAGGAATAAATTAAACTTATTAACATTTTCGAATTGAAATATTCATTTACGTTACTAAATCACTTTATAAATAATATGTTAAATAAATATTTAATACTGCTATTAGCTCATTCATGACGAAATGCGTAGGTATAACTTTGATTCTGCGGAATGTTAATCTAATTACACAAAGGTATCTTTTTCAGTGGGTTACTTTACAGTTTATAGGAAGATTCCATAGAAATAGTGCGAAACCTATTTTCGAAGTGTAGTTCCGAAGATTTTTCTTTATTAAAATGTGCACTGAACAGTGTCACACTAACACAAAATGAAATTTGGGAATTCTTTTACTCCAATTTTGCATCATTAGATGAAATTATGTATTCAAAAAGTGTTGCCTTCGTCTAACTGGGTATTTTCCTGATTGTTAGGCGTTTTAGGAAATGATTACGTTCGAAAGTGTGACACAGAACAATTTACCCAAACAAACACTGAGATGAATTTGCATCATACTCCGTGGTAAGCATTCAATAGGACTTTGAATGACAAGTTCTACCTTTCGGCTAGGTCGTGTAAGTTGACATTGGCATGTTGATCTCGAATTCCCACCTCAAAGGTATAAATAGGTAACTCCAGGTTACGTATTCTTCGTTGGTATTGTGTTGGTGCACGTCCTTTCGATTAAAACCAAAGCATGAAGTGTGTAAGTTTTCAAACACTGTGCCAATTTTTCGGCTTTTACTGTGTTTTCTTCAATTTATTGTAGGTTACACTATTGTCTTTCGTGATTTACATTGTGACCGCCAAACCAGTTCACGATCAAGATGCAAGGATAACGGATTTTCAACAATCAAATGATTGGAAGGGTAACTACGAAATTGGGTAAGTTACCATTATGTGTTATACCGATTATCTGGTAGACTGAAATGCGAAGCAAGGTCTTCCAGAACTTCTTTTAAATGTTAATGCAACCCAAAATTTATAATGAAAAATTACACACCTAACTTCCTCTATAGACTACTTGTTACTTCCAAAGCAACTCTAAAAATTTGCATAATTATAATGTTTATAAAGTGAGCCTGGGTCTCGTAGTTTCATAACAAGCATTTCTTGCAGGTGCCATAGGCTTTCAGTTAATACGTTTCTTCTATGATTTTTAACCTAAAATTGACGCTATCATAACCTTTTTCCCATCTAATGAATTTCTTCACCATCTACTTATATAACGTGTACGGTGTACCTATGTTGCACAGATAACCTTCATCTCTTGCTCTAGAAGAATGATAGTTTTTTTAAAAGTCCACGGCTAACTAGATATCTCGTTGAAACCATTTTTTTTACATTTGTATCCCAATGCAGGAAGGTAATTATGTACCTAATAATATTACATTGTGATCGAATTTTTCATGCCAATTATTATACTCCGAGTTATACTCTTTGCCATAACGATGCAGTAATGCTAATGATGAACTATGGTTTCTCTTTCCATTAGCACGAACACATATTATTATTATGTTTGCTGTATAATTAGATACTAAATTACACCTCAGAATTCTTTAGGAAACCTATACCTACTTATTTTACTTACAAGTGCATCCCCTTAGTTAAAACATAGAGGATTGTATTTCCTCTATGGTTAAAATCAATTTTGTCGGCAGGCACCTAGGTAGGCACTTACAAAGAGAAAGTGATAGGATTCATTGAGACTCATCCAAAGGTACCATATTCTAGTACATTGTTTCTTGTTTTTGTGATATACTCTTGGCTTGGCCATTCGGCCGTTTGTTTCTCACTCGAGAACGCGAAGCAATCTGGTTTTTGGAAAATTCTCCTTTGAGAAAACGAGCCCTCCATGAAATAACTTTTAAAAACTTTTTAAGAATTCGCCAGCACGAATATTTCTCCTGAAGAAATTTTCAAAACGTTTGCCCTCAAAACTTGATTACCAGATAAATTGACATCAAGAATACTCGACTATACTAGCTATATACTTAATTCTATCTAGGAGATGAATCTAAAAGAAAAATTCGACTCAAATGATCAGTGCTATTAAATATGAGCCAAGTCAGAAGTCGAGTTTACTAATTCGCACTGGTTTAATCAGGTAAATTACGACTTGAGATTATTTGCATTCTTTATCTGAAATCTCATTAGGAGAGCCGTAGGAATATTCGATCCGGAAAATTATTCGTATTCCGTAATATTTGTTTGCGGTATTTGTATTACTCCCAAAGCCCAGGTGTATTCATTCATGAAACACATCCGGAAATTCCCACCCGGAAAAACTCTAGGTATTCTTGGAATATCCGTCCTAAAAAGAACTTTCGAAAAATTCGCTCTAAAGAAAAATAGTCTTGGGAAATTTATGAAGGAATGCTCGTCCTCTGATGAATTTATCTTTGAACGAATTTTCCAAAAAGGATTAATTTACTGTTTGGAGAAAAGTCTTCCGAGTGTGTTTTTGTAAACAGATTTCTTCGATGAAAAATTGTTCATAGGAAATCCCAGGGGTGAGCTTTTCTAGGACGACTATTCCGAGTAAAGATAAACCTAAAGGCGATTTCTTGGGGACTGGTATTTCTGGGACAAATGTGCTTGGCGTAGAATTTTTCCACAGCGAGAAATGACTTCTTTGGGGACGAATATTCCAAATGCTAATAAACTTAGAAATGGGGAGGCGATTTATTAGCGTTATTTGTGAGCGTGGAGTAAATGTTACAAGCGCGAGTTCTCCATGGACGAATGTTCGGAGCATGTGTTTTCTGCAGGAGCGTGTATGTCGGAGTTGATCTTGGAGTTGACTATTCTGGGATTAACATTTTTCGATAGGGATTATTTGTGAGCAGGTGTACCTGGCGTACAATTCTTTCAACCAGTTTTTCCAGGACGAACTTTCGAATCCGAATTTAGAGGAACGCGTTTTTGCTAATTAACTTGCATTGAACTTTCTTGGGACGTCTTTCGAAAATGAATATTCCCAACGCGAATTTTTGAGGATGAATTTGTCAGAGGTGCATTTTTTGAAGGAAATCTTAGAGACGAATTTTTCGGAAACGAATATTCAGAAATGTCAATGAAAGTGGAAGCGATTTCGTGGGAACGGGTATTTAGAAAACGAGTCTAAGTGATCGAATTCATTGGAGTGAATTTTGCGAGAGCGAACTTTCCAAGAGCGAATTTTCGGAGAATGAGTTTTACGGGCGAATATTCCAGGAACATACGTGGCAGCGTTAAGTCTGGGAAAAGTGTAGGTACACATGGACTATAATTTTTCCAGAACAAACGTGAAGTTTCAGAAGGAAATTTCGAAGCACGCGTTTATATAAATCTTGCGAAAAGAATCTGAGAAAGAAATTTTTAGGGCGAATGTACCGGAGAATTTTTTAGATAGAGATTAATTTTTCGGGGGCAAATGGACTGGCCTGGGCGGGTGCCGATTTTCTAGAAATGGACATTACGAGACCGTTCTTCGTAGGCGTGTATTGAATGTTGCAAGGAATGGCTGAATTTTCGGAGAATTATTCTTCTACAGGCGAATATTTCAGGAGCGTGCATGTTGGGGTTGAATATTCTAGCGTTCGAATTTTTTGAAGGGAATTATTTCTTGGGAGAGAGAATTTTCGCAATGCAGAAGGGAGTTTTTTGGAGACAAATTTGCGAATATTGCGAAACGAATTAACGTATACTGAATTTTTTGGGAACAAGTCTTCAGGGAGCCAATTTTCCCAGTGCAAATTTGCGGAAGGAGAATTTTCCAGAAATGAGGTATTCGAGGAGGAATTTGGAAATATAGTTGGGGTCAATTTTTTTTAACGCGAGTCTTCGTGGCTCTGAAGTGAATTTCGGGAGTGCGAATTTTTCATGGGCCAATTTTCGGGGAATGAATTTTTTGCAACCAAATATTCCAGAAACGTTCATGTCAGTTTTGAACATACTGGAAACGGAATTTTGTAGGAGGAATCATTTCTAGGGCAAGTGTACAGTGCATACCTGAGGTAGAATTTTATGACTGCCGGAGGAGAATTTTTCAGAAGAAATCCCAGAGCTTTTCGGGGATGAATTTTCCGAATGCAATAAATTAAACTAGTCAGAGAATTTTCCATGGGCGAACGGAGAACGAGATGTAGGTGTTAGATATCATGAAATGTACATTTTTCCATTGCATGGGGATAGAAATTTTTACAGAACTGGATGGCGAATTCCCAGAGAATCGTTTTGTAAATTTTGCGAAACAAATTAGGTAACTTGCATTGAGTTTTCTTGGGGACAAGTCTTCCTTGTGGAAGTTTTCCCAGAGCGAATTTTTTAGGACGAATTTGTTAGGAAATCCCAAGACAAGTTTTTCGGGGGCGAATGTCCCGAGATTCCCTAGGAACGGATTCTCGTGGACGAATTTTATAAGAATTTTGGGCAAATTTTAGGTGAATAGTTGGGAGCGGGCATGTTGATCCGAATTTGGAGGGAATATTTCTGGAACAAGTATAGGTACCTGATGGGGTTCAAAACGGGGTTTGTGGGGGAGAATTTTTCATAAGTGAAGAGAGACTTTTAATTGTATTGTAAATGTAATTGAAAGTTGGAAATTATGTCTAGTCTTTATTTTTGTAAAGTAATTAAAATTAGAATAAGAAATAAGTACTTTTATTTATTTGTGTAACACGAATGTGTTTTTAGTTTCAGAACAAGCAACGGAATAGTCCAACATCAAATTGGCGAATTAAAGAAAGTTGCCGACGACAAACCACCGGTCAACGTACTGCACGGCTATTTCTTTTTCGTCGCCCCCGACAACACCACCCATGAAGTACGCTACGTTTCCGATCAATTCGGTTATCGTGCCGAAGTAATCAGCCCAAGCACATTCCTTGACAATTTTAAGGATGCACCGACTGTTGCAAGAGGGAAAACGATCGAAGAACCCGCTGTCACCGAGACACCCGACGACCAAGAAAACTCTACGCCTGTTGCTCCACAAATCGAAGACAGAGTAGACGAAAATTCCAAAAACAGAAAAAACGTGGACGGTGGTTTGTCATTTCCAGACAGAATAGGCACACCCGCCATCATCTCTCTTCAAGGTCCTCCAGGCAAATAATTTATGCAAATCAAACAATTCGAAGACTGAAGATTATAGTGCAAATTTGTTAATTTAAATTCTGTGATGGTTCGGACACTTATTTGTTTATTACTTACTTTAGGAAATACAGTGTAGTAAATTAATTGGCATAAAATAATGTCCTTTGAGTTTATACGATTATTGCACATCTCCATTACTCACAAGACAACCTACATTGCTTTTCAGGAAGACCTTAGACTCAATTAATGAGAACTCAATAATAGAGCTTTATTAAAACTATCAACTTATAAAGATTCCAGCCCATAAGCAACAATAAAAAAATTATGAATTTGCATGTGATTGTTATAATTTAAATTGCCATCTAATTATAAGGGGGTATTATTATTATTATTATTATCTTGTGGCTGGATGGACCAAGTGAAAAATCTTTTACAATTAAACCAACGCAACGGTCTGAAATGTCTTGTTTGCTAGTTCTCAAACGCCCGGATTTCTCCTTTAATTTGTTTGTCAGCAACCATATCACACAAAAGGACGAGCTGTGCTATTTCAAAATCTAGTGCGAGTATTTAAAATTAATAAAATTAATATTAATTTTAAATACTACTTTGCAGTTTGTAATAAATTCTTAACATTGCACCCAATTTGGAAAATGTTCTGACAAATCCATAAATTTTAAAAAGTGGGGTAATTGTCATCTACGAGTATTATAACTAAGGAATGAAACAAATGGATGTCCCTTAGAACCCAAATATAATCGATTTCATTGCGCCACCAGTGTTAAGGAACTATACAGGGTGTAGCACCTAAGATCCCTCGGATCATAACTGCTTTACCATAAAAGATACCGAAAAAAGTCTTAGAGCAAAATTGGACACAATTACCGCCGGCATCTTTCTAAAATATTTTTGAAACCAGGGCCGTGCTGTATTTCAGTGGCGTATCAAACTTGCATTAGTTTTAAATGGAACACCCTATATTTTATTACTGATTTGGAGAGTACTTGAAAAGTACTTTTTTTTTAATTGACTTTTGTTAAATGTCATATTTTTTAACAATTTCAAATGGCACCCCCCCTAAACAAATTATACCTCTGGGTAGCCAAAACTATAAATTTTCCACGGATATAAACAACACCACACATGCCATAAGAAAATGATGACAAAGCCTAAATCAGGATCGCTGTTCTCCCAGAGTGCAATAAAAACTATGCTGTCTTGAAAAAAAAACCCACACACAGGAATATTGTGCTGAATTGTATTACTAAAATATGGACTAGTGATCTCAGAGCAGCATAATTTTTTGACAGCTATTGTTGCAGCAAAATCCGACTGAAATAAGATTACCCTGCGCTGCGGGTTTTGGACCCGAGAATATATTAAGAGGACAACACGCTACAGAAATCAAATGACGTAGAAAGACAATCATTAATTCAACCAATTGCTTATGTAATACCGAGAAGGTAGAAAAGGGCCAAGAAAAATAAAGAAAAAAATTAAAAAGGCCAAGGTAGGTGAAAATATGAAAAAGTCAAGAAACGTATGGAAAGCAAGGATGTGGAAGGAGAATCTGAATAATGCAAAAATGGCAAAGGAATCTAGAAAACGGGAGTCTACGGAAATGATCAAGTTGAGGATGTTATCTACAAAATTCTATGAAATTGAAGAAGGTAAAGCTAATGGCTCTAGCGGTTATGATGGGCGAGACTTTTCTTTCTCGGTAGCAAAACATGGTTTCCGAGGATCAGAGGAAAAAGTGAACATGATAAATACATCAAACAAAAAACAGAATATATAAACGTAACTCTGTAACAATGTTACACAAGCTGTGTGGTGTAACTTATAAATCCAATTATGGATGAATTGCTCCATTATTGGAATTATAAGGATGCATTAATAAAACTTGAATGTTGCTGTATACTTATAATAAACGTGATAACAATTATAAGTATACAGCAACATTCAAGTTTTATTTATAAATCCAAATTATGAGTGAATTGACGGAATATAAAGTACTGTATTTGTTCGAGCAACATGGTTCCTTGAAAGTTTTTAAATAGACATCCTGCATTGATTCTTTACGTAATGGAATCAAGCTTATGTCCTATCCAAAAAAATTTTGTTTACATGTAACCCAAATAATGGATCTAGACTAGAGCCATATAGTATAATATAATATAGATAATATAATATAAAACAATATAATATAATATAAAATAATATAATATAATATAATATAATATATAAAAATATATATATAATATAATGGCTCATATTATATTTTTCATATTAATCTCTTGAGGGGTTCATTTTTTTTCTTCTAACTTTCTGGTCTGGTTACAGTTTAACTACCGAAATATAACCACAATTTAATAAAAGGAGAGCCTCTAACCGCCTTTGGCTATATTTCAAAGACTTTTACAATTTTTTTTGTTAATTAGTCTAATAGTTTGCGAGCAACTTTTTTAAAAGGTATTATGCGAGACATGTATTTCTTAAAATCATTACATCACATGATCCATTTCTTGTGCTCTAACAAAAAAATTAACGAGACCAACACTACAAAAAAGTCATTTCGTGCAGATCTAAGCAGATCTAATTGGGTTTGTGTGCGACAATCGGTTATAAAACTCACTTTTTTTTCGTCCTCATTAAACGTATTGATATCAGTAACCGCATCCACCTACGTACGCTTACCTTGAAAAGATATTGTTTCTTTCTACAATTAGAAAATAGAAAAAGTAGAATGGAAGAAGCGCTAGAACTTATGAGACGATGTAAATTAATGAGCTATCCAATTCAAACTTATGTAATATTATGTGTCTGCATTTCCGTTATTCTCTTATGTTAATACATAAAATATACAACAGTAGGTTACATTTACATTTTTCGTTCGTCTGAAAGGAAATTCATGTGATTTGACAGAAATATTATGGAAATAAGAGAGATTTGCGATAGTCAATATCTCACATAATCAAAACTCGGAAGATTCTGCTAATACTGGCATACGGAAGTAGGGATTTAAAGGGGAGACGTATAAAAGTGCAAACTATGGCTGCATTAGTTGTCAGTTTGATTACGGATTATACCAACAGAAGAAGGATAAGCGAACATGTTTCGTATAGCTGTAAGAATTGGTACAATGTACCATTGTTGTTTAATTTTTCTTGTTTTGCAGTGCTTAGTGTTGGTGATAGTCCAAGTCTATGGAATACACGGTGATGAAAGCGTGCTTGGTGGAGCTATTGCCCAAATTGTGGATTACATCTTTCACAATATCGGGGACGGTAATTACCGCTGGGGGTAAGTTATGCCTATACAAATAGGTTTGAACCTAATACATTGCTAGGTTTTCTTCTACCGATGGCGTACAGCGAATGGAAGAGGGAGTGCTCGAAAATCCTGAAACTGACCACGAAAACTTCATAGTAAGGGGAAGTTACAGCTATCCTGATGCAAATGGGAAAATGGTTAAAGTAAAATATACAGCGATAAGGACGGTTTTCATCCAGAAGGCGATAACATATTCGTACCTGCTTACGACGCTAACGATAAAGACTACGATCAAAAGGATAACAAAATCGAAGCAACTCAACAGTCGCGGTTTAATCGCCAGTTCATTGAGAACCCTCCGCACAATTACGAAGACAATTACCAACAAGTTTCTCATCTACAAAATCATCAAAACCAAAACATAGTGTACAGACAGCAATTGCCCGTACAAGCCGAAAATAACGACTTTCACTACGACAAATCACTCATAGATCTTTTGGGCCATAGTAGTGCGGGTGGCCTCAACTTCGAACAGCAAGGGCAAGATCAGCGACCAATTATAGCTATCGTGGGGGACGACGGAAGAATAATCGAAAGCAGTTTAGATAGTGAAAATATTCCAGATTCCATTTTGGAATTGTTAGGTAAAAGTGCTACCCACAGTATTCCAAAACTAACACAGCAGCAAGTGCACGATGTAATGGTGAGAAATGGAATTCCACAAATGATTGAGAAAGCATTAACGGAGGCTCTCAGAAAACAGAACATTGAGACTGATAATGCTTCGGAGTCGTCATCTGTCATTGTCACTAAAGATGCAGAACCCAGTACAACTCCTTCGACATTTACCATCTCGTACAACAATAGCATTAGCAGCGATGCAGCTGAAAAGATTAATAATAGTACGCAAACGTGATCAGAATAGTCATTAATTTGTTATCGTGTTATTTTTTGACTATTATAATTGAAATAAATATTGATTAATACTTCCTGTTTCATTTATGTAATTTGTAACTCTCTTATTTTGCATGCATTTTGGCCGTATCCGTGTGACGCCAATGGGAAAAAGTGTTTTTGTTAGCTTGACGATTGCAGGCGAACCATCCCGAACGCACTACGTAAAATGGACTGCAAAGCACAAACTTCCATTTTTACCACGTTAATAAGGGAAGTATTGCATTGGGGTAAAAAAGACCCACCAATTTTTTGACGGAAATCCCGATTCGAAGCACCAGGAATCCGAATCAAACAAAATCTCGATGATGCGGGTCTGTCGGTCCGTCTGTGCTCACATTCCCGGCTACACGGTTGAACCGATTGGAACCAAATCTGACATATTCTTACACATAAAAGGAAGAGCGGACAAGCTTTTGGACAGAATTGCGCATGCGGAAGTGTGTCAAACTCTTATTTCCGGCTAAACGATTGAACCGATTGGAACCAAATTTGGTACACATATTCTTAGACATAAAAGAAACAGTTGGAAAACATTTTGGCACAACGCGCATGCGCAGGTGTGCGGGAGGTATTCGTGCGAGCCATAGCAAATTTTTATATTCCGTTCTCGTTTGGGCGTGAGATATCCGAACGGCGTAGCATTCACCGTGCCCGGACGGGGACTATACCAATTCCAAAGAATGCCGTTTGGCTGGAACAACGCTCCGGCTACCTTTCAGCGTATCGTCGAAACTATTCTCGGTCCTAAACTCCAACCTAATGTTCTGGTCTACCACGATGTTGTCATTGTGTCCCCCGATTTTGAATCACATTTACGTCTTTTAACTGAAGTTTTCAATCGGGCGCTTGCTGCCGGGTTGATCATAAACAAAGATAAATGTCAGTTTTTCCTAGGGTTTTTCCTCAAATACCTTACCTATGTGGTCCACGTACATGGTTTACGTCCTGACCCCGAGAGAGTCAAAGTTATCATAAATATCACCTCTCCTGTCAACGTACATGAATTAAAGCGTTTCCTAAGGGCATGCAGCTGGCATCGTAAATGGAATCAAATTGATACGTGACCTGAAGTATATTTTTAAATCAATAAACACAAATTCAGTCA